GTTTCTATATTGGCTAGAATTAAGATTATTTTTATTTTTCCAGTTCATGAGGACCGTTTTCTTGGCGATGCATAGGGCAGTAAAAACCATGTGGACTGTATTAGTTTCTGTAGTGACATAATCTAAGCTGCCCAACAAACACAAATTCCAAAAATTCCAACAAGGGGAGGTTGGAATTTTACATTTCAGACACTTTGATAATGTTAAAGGGTTTAATGTTGCGGTTGAGCTGGAGATTGTCGCATTTGGCGAAAGGTTGGATAAGCCATGGAAGGGTCGCCACTCTGTCACAGGGGTAACAAAGAGAGACAGACCACCGTTCACACCTAATTTAGAGTCATCAGCTAACCTAACCCCACTAACTGCATGTCTGTGGACTGTGAGGGAAAGCCAGGGTACTCATGCAGACAGTGAAAGAACATCAAACCGCCCACAGAACGACTCCACCTGGCCAGCGCATTTAAACCCAGAATAATTACGTATTTTAAATCTCTGCATTCATCATGTGAATTTTGCGCAAGAACTAAATAACTGTTTGAGAGGCAAAGAGAGAAAATACGTCCTCAGTACTTTGAAATAGCTGGAAATGAACAATTATTAATTTATAGGTGCTGAACTGAATTTTAAGACAAAAAGAAGAAACAATTCCCCTTGTGAGGTCAGCACAGGGGTTTGTGCCTTAATACTGACAAACAATAAAAGTTCAAGTTACAAAAAGCTGCTGAATTTTTTTAAGTGGAAGAATAAGTTTTATGGCTTGCTGTGGCATACATCCCATCCACTGTGAATGAAACTCAAATTTTTTTACTAGTACCCAAAATGTTAAAGCTTTAAAATGCACAGTCCAAAAAACCCTGTGGCTATATCCATCTTCTATCTACAGTCTATGATACAGCTAAGAGTTCAGACTCTATTGTGTCTCCTCTTCTGCTTTCAGTGAAGTGACACAAACAGCACTGAAACAAAAAGGAGAGAAAAGCTATTTTGCAGCTACTAAACTGATTATATTTGTTTGTGGTAATTGTATCTTTAGACCTTACATCTTTGAATATCTGTCGCATTATCTGTGACTTCAATAAGGCGGCATCATTCATCTCACACTCACAGATGTATCTCTAAAGAATGCCTGATTGCAGAGGGCTTTTCCCAGGTTCAGATCCATGTTTACGCACTGTAGGCAAGTGTGGTGAATAAAGTCCACTCAGTTCACAGGTGCTCCGTCTCATTTCAGAGTTTGTTTTATTGATTTAACAACAGAACACACAATGTGTCTGGAATGTGTCTGTGTTTATTTCCAGACACATTCCAGCGACAGTAGGCGGAGGTTTAGTGGAGCGTTCCAACTGCAGCTGGTCAACATGTTTTTACCATCATTTCACATCACACGTGTGATAGCAGCGATCTCCTGCAGCTTGATCTCTGAGGATTTCACATTCTGTGCGTTGAAGCCACATGATTCAAACATCGTGCATTTAAATTTAATGACACATATTTTAAAATGCAATTTCACCGGCTCTGTCCTCACAAAAGTGTAAGATTCGCTTCTAGTATTGTTTCTAAATGATTACTTGGGGACATTGGAGTGTTGATCAGATCACTCACATCATAGTAGGCTCTGAACACATGAAAGACATTTTCAATATTGTTATTTAAAAAACACCGTTAAAAATATTTGCTATACTAGTCAATTATGACAAAAATCCCAATAACATCATCAAAACAAAATACTGGATCTTGGTTGGAACTACATGAGCAGTTCTCTCATCAGCAACGCTGCAATAAATACCTGCAAAGTCACCCTGTTCCTGTACGCTCCCATAAGTGTGTTTAGGTTAATTTTGGCAAACAGTTTACCAATTAGCTCAAGAATGTGAGGACTGCTGCGTGCCCAAACTGAGAAGTAGCTGTTGTCAAATTACAACCTCGGGGTCTGTGTTTGTGTCATTCCTCAAGAGTGGCTCAGGAACTGGAGCATGTTTAACAGGAGCTTGGATCAGGAGATGTCTGAGTGACATTCGTCTCCCTCTGTGACTTTTTTTGCACAATGTACCCCAGGTTATCCATATTAAAACCAAATGAGAACATTTCTCCTGTATGAAAATGTCTCTTTGCCTCTACGGAGAGCACAAATTCTCAGTCTGTCATGTTGTATCACATAAACTCAACATGGATCTGGCCTTTTTTTGACATGCAGTGTCAGTCAGGTTTCTAGCACACAGGAGGAGATGTGTTTCATACCTTTAAATAAACACAAAACACATGGCTGGCATTACTAGCCAGCAAAAGCAAAACAGTTGAAAGGAACTTGAAGAATTCAGCTTTGAACATTTCCCCTCTTGAATCCCATGTGTAGAAAGTCCATGATGTTGGTCACTCATTCCTCCCTGAGACAGGTGACACTTCCATCTCATTAAAATGTCAACGTGTCCTGGATGCTCCACGAAAGCCTCTTACAAGCCTGAGCCACGCAGGTCTCCGACAGCAGGCCTACACAAACGGCCATCAGCGACAGACGTCTCCTGCTGTTCAGGATCACTGGAGAGGAGATCAAATTATTACTGCACACCCTTTTTACATGTTTGCTGTGTTATTGGAGTAATCTGGAGTAACACAGAGAATGTGCAAACCAAAATTATGTGAACTTAAATGGTGAGAAGCTGAGAAGGCACCTGTTACGTAAAGAAAGGAAAAACGGCCACACAAGCTGGACGTGATGCAAAATTAAGCAGTAAGAAAGGTGAATTCAATACTTTGTTCACTGCTCAGAGGCTCGCCGCCAAACACGCAAATTTTTGTTTCCACAGATGCTGAAGAAATAATGACATGAAAACCAGAAACATGGACCTAAACCTTTGTGTTATATAATACGTTTATCTTCAAGTGCTGGGTCCTCTGAGGTCAGGATCACAGCAGCAGGGAGTAAGCTGCCAACTGCTGATGCTTTGAAACAAACCTCTTCCATCATTTCTCATAGTTGAATCGAATGTTAACCCTAATTTCTTATGAAATTATGTTTGATCATCAAGTATTCAGCCTAGCCAAAGCATAAATAGTATTTCAGATATATAGCTATATGATATATGGCTGTGCTCTTGTCACAAGAGACGTCGCAGCGAGAAGCTCCACATGTTTGATTTGGCAGTTTTACGCCAGCTGTCCCTCCTGACGCAACCTCAAAGGGGATTGCGACTAATTCTACATTCATTTTATGATTTCAACTTTGGCACGGGGAGTGCGGATTATGATATCACCTTTAGTGGATATTCGCAAAATTCTGCATAAACTCAGTTACAGTCATCTCCACCACACTGCCGAGAGGGCAGATGCAAAGCTATTTGATCAGCAGTGGATCTCTTACCTCTGATCGCCTGTGAATTTGAGGTGAGCACAAATAGTTTGATGAGGCCCAGGCAGAGCGGGGAGTAATCGTGCTCCCAGATGACAGCGGGGATGAGGAGGACTTTGCCGTAGCACGACAACAGCAGGGCTCTGAGGAGCAGGCAGAGCTCCATGGTCTCACCCTGCAGACAGCAGACCACCACCCAAAGGAAACACAGCACTCCGCCACAGAACGCTGACAGCTCTGAAGGTCCAACAGAGACACATATATAAGCCAGATCATGTAGCTTATATACTGAAGATACATGAAACAGGAGTCAGCATGAGAAGATGGAACCTGGGTACTCAGGTCAGCCACAATCAATTGGGACAAGTAGGTTACCCATGTGACACAAAAATATTTTCCAGTAAATAATATAATTTTATATGAAATCATTTTGATCACACTAAGTTGGTCTCAGTGATGAATTTCACACAGCTTTTGGTTGTAATCATAATAATAATAATGGATTGCATTTATATAGCGCTTATCAAGGCACCCAAAGCGCTTTACAACACCACTATTCATTCACTCTCACATTCACACACTGGTGGAGGCAGTTACGGTTGTAGCCACAGCTGCCCTGGGGCAGACTGACAGAAGCGGGGCTGCCATATCGTGCCATCGGCCCCTCTGGCCAACACCAGTAAGGTAAAGTGTCTTGCCCAAGGACACAACAACCAGGACAGAGAGGCCGGGGATCGAACCGGCGACCTTCCGGTTACAGATACGCTTCCCTGAGCCACGGTCACCCCAAGATGTGTAGAAGATAATTCTCTTTGCAGTTTTGGAAAATAAAAGGCAATCTAAAGATGTCATATCGGGCTCTGTGACATTATGAAGACTATTATTCATTATTTCCTGACTAAATAAATGATTTAAAGAGCATTTTAACTGATATTAGAATAATCTTAGTTGCAAGCTGACCCAGAATAGATTCACAAGTACTCGTATATATGCAGTTGCTCAAAAATATCCTTTCTAAGACAATACAAATCCAATTTAAGTAATAATTTAATACTTTACTCAACTTCCAGACACCGTTAACCCTCGCGTGCTCCCATTTCATTGATGTTTCCTTTGCTCTGTGATAACACACTGATAGAAACTGTGTCTTATCATCTTACCAAGAGCAGCCAATCCAAACATGCCGTAGAATTCCCATTCCTTTGTGTATCTGATTATATCAGCAGGGTCACTGCTCTGCTCGGAGCCATGGAGCATGGACCACCTGAGGTAGGCTTCACACAGCAGGGAAAACACACACAGCTTCCAGTGGATCTGCAGAGGTAAAGATTAACATGTAGAAACATGTGCATGCTGGTCAGAAGTCATGATAGCACCTGCACAAACGAATACGTGCAAGCCAGGACACACCAAGCACAAATCTTTAAAGTTATCACTCGTGCAATAAAGATAAAGGTGTCATTTCATCTGAAACTATCACATTTTAAGAATTTTTTTTTTTTGCTCAACCATCTCTGATTTGCCTAGAATTTTTTTTTTAAATGTGTGTATATATATGTGTGTTTGTGCAGTTTCTTTTTTAAAGGCCCGTTCACCTACTTTTAAGCCCTTTTCCCCACCTTGTAATCTGAGGCAATGCTTGAACATGAATATCCATTAGAGTATTAAAGATACAGGTCACTGGTCTGTCTTACCATCAAAATGAATGAGGATCTGTAATTTAGGACAAATACCTAAAAAGCCAAACTATTTACTAGTTAAAATGTGAAAACAAACAAAAAAATAAATAAAAACGGAAGTCTTCCTTTAAAGTTCCACATTTGAACAAACACTAATAAAAAACTTCAAACTACAAAAGACAGCAAGTGATAATTTATTAGACTCTTCTAAGTCTTGAAATGGTAGATACAGCAGGTCTTGACAATGAAAAATCTGAGGTATTGTGAAATTAAATTATATACCATAAAGAAATTGTCACTACTTGTCTTTTGCAATGTGAAGGTTTTTTTTTAACCTGTATAATGAAAATGCTTGATTTTTCTTTTTAATTATTAACCAACATTGAGACATTTTAATGTGTCTGTAATCTGTTTGTTTATGGTAAGAGTGGTGAGAGAGGTCACTGAATAATATTTTATATATGAAGCTAAAATGTCCCAAACTGTAGATCATAAAGTTGATATGCAGATCAAAGATGGTCAAGCAGAATGTCCATTTTGTTTTGCGATGGAATGACCCATAATTTGCTTACATTTAGTCTTGTGTTGAACAAAATGTGCCTGAAAGCCTGTGTCTTGCACAAAATGGCATCGATGAGGATGATGACTGGGTCATATTCAATGTACTTGTCCACTGGCTTCTGGCAGGACTCCTGGAGAAACACACAAGCAGAGTTTTTGTCAAAGTCCTGCTATAATGTCTCTCTTTATATCACCTCTCAGATCTACTTTAAGAAGCACGCAGTCCATGTTTAGGAGATGGCTCCAACTAAGGCGTGATGGTGATCACTGTAATTAACATCTAAGACATGAAGTCCAAAGTTTGCTTGTTTACTTGCTATTCAGTAAAAAGGCCAGAGATCAGTGCACCTGAGAGCAAGACCTCAAAAAGAAAAAAGCAGTCACCGTTTCACTCATAAACCATTTAGCAGACAAGTTATTTCACTACAAATGTGTCTAGTTGCAACAGGAAAAGGTAGGAAGCTGTATGATATCTGATAAGTAGCATCCTCATCGCACAAACGGTGTGAATTTTCAACGCACACATATTGTTATCTTCAGGATCCCGTTGCTGTAATCCCTGTGGAGTTCCGCTGCTTTTTCGTTACATTCAATACATCTAAAATCATCTTTTCCCATCTTTCATCTGTACACAGCTACGAGTAGCATGCTAGTACCCGGAAGTAAACCGGTAATAATAATGTTTCTCAACATTTCAGTGGAACTCCTTCAAAATAAAAGTATGTCTTTGCCAGGTTCTGAAGGAGTGTCAAACGCCACTGAAATACTGCTAAATGACCTTGCGGCAAAAACAGGGAAGAAAAATAGGAATTGTGAACAAGCAAACCTGAAAATAAACAAGCATCAGTGGACACAAACCTATTAATATTATTTGGTAGATTGGTAAAATATATTTGATTAAGATGTCTCGAGATAAATAAGTGTGGTTTTAACAATGTATGTTTTTTTCACATTTACTCCGTATGCTGTCTTTACATGAGCATTGCCGTTTGAAATCACAGTGGAAAGGCTCAAAACCTTCAAAGATTGTCAAACTTAAAAGAAGACCATTGTTTATAATTCGAACAACTTTTCTAGATTTAAAAATAATTACATTTTCCCCCTGTTTAGTAATGCTGGATAAACATGAAAAGTTAGTATTGCATCAACTGAACTCCAGCTGTCTTCAACACTTTGCATCCAACTCATTCGGTGCCCCAGCCCATATATACGACACTGCTTTTCCAAGTTAAAGTGCAGCTGACAGTGTGTGTTGGAGTGAACCTGTTTTCATGCATGCAATATTTGTTTGTTTTTGTGTTTTCTTTTGTTTTTATGTAATGATAGTTTTACAGGATATGATTTTACTCTGTCCAGAGGTTGAATGTATATGGGTATATTCACTGCAGATACTTTAAAAGAATATACAAAGAATTTAAGCTCTTTTCTCAATATTTTATGTGGATCAAGCAGAATGGACAGGACTAGAAATTAATACATCAGCTGGAGAAAGATTTAGAGAGGCAAGGCACAGCTTGGGCTAGACAGGAGAAGAAAAAGCTGTTTTCTCAATATAACTGACCAAATGTAAAATTAGCTCTACCAACCCTCTACCCCTATTTAAGTACTTAAATGCACTACGACTGTGCAGCTGCTCTATGAATAGCTTTTATTCTGATTTGTTTTAGTACACTTTGAGACAGAAGAGAACATTATACTATTGCCTACGATGTCAGAATTGGTTTATGAAGACAGACTGTATACTCATACTGTTGCGACTAACCTCAAAACCACAGATTCAGCCCATAACAATGTCATACAATTACCAGTTATTGCATAAAGCTGTGGATCATGTGAAACGACTGACGTCTTCATTTCATACGACATTGCTGTCTGAAATAGTAGAAGTTGAGCGCTATATACGTGACACTAGACCACAAGGGAGTCTGATGGGGTGTAAATTCCTCATACCAGCTCTAAACTGGACTGGGAAGACTGGATTCCAGTAAGATGAATAGTATCTTACTGGAATGGTTGAAGCTCACACCCTTTACAAAGGCATGGCATGCAGGTCAACTGGTCAAGAAGTGGAGTACATACATAATTTAAACATTTCAAAACCAAATTTAGAAAAATGTAAAAAAAAATAAATAAATAATTCGAGTTGTCTAAACTTAAACATTTATAAGTTCTAACAAAACATCTCCTTTTGATAAACAAATTATCCTAGAAAATTGCCTATACTTTTATATTGAATCTCATAACGGAAAACCGTGATTTCTGGCTTGACGCTCGCGGAACCGGTTTGACAGCCGCAGAGGGTGTTGGGAAATGTGGTTTAATAGCTCCCTCCGTTTTGCGGGCTTCTTGTTCGCGTCCCGCAGATTCGCGCGTGAGGGGGGCGTGCCCGTTTGGGTCGAACTGCAGCAGCTTCCGCCCTGTGGCGTCACACATGTAGCACAACATGGCCCCTGCCAGCCGGGCTGTTGTTGTGGTAGCGCTCTCACTCTTGTACCTGTGCCGGGCGATTTTCTCCACCGAGTTCTTCTCCACTCTCACTTTATTCAACAACGACCTCCACAAACAGGGATGCAGCTCGCTGTCTGAATGGGAGGACTACGCTGCTGACTGCGGTAAAGTCTGCCTTTTCGCTGTTACTTTGCCACGTCCTCTCTGATACAACTGTCACTTGGACCCGGCTAGCCCAACCGTTTAAAGGCTAAGGTTAATACGCCAATAACAGCAAGCGGTGACAGCTCGAAGGGATCATTAAGAGTAGCCTTTCCTGCCTCAAAAATAGTCTTTTTTTCCGCCAAATATGAAAGAAAACAGAGTTCAAACACAGGAAGTGGAGTTCAAGTGTAAATAACTGTAAAGAAACTTAAAAGTGCTTATCGAAAAGCTCACTTCAGTCAGCAAACTGTATGTTTTACCTTAAACAAAGGGAAGTAAACCATACTCCAGCCAAAGAACGCGCAATTTAATATCGCCTTCTGCAGCAGTAAAATAAATATTTAAAGAGGAAAACTGAAAAGTTTCTTATAATTACAATGTCCTTTCGCTGCATTCGGCATGTCAGTAACTCACCACTTCTATAATTAGACTGACCAAAGCTTGTTGCAATAACTATAACTGAGCTAAAAACCTATACAACGTGTGAAAAAGACATTTTAGTTCATTGAAATATTAATTAAAACTAGAATTCTGAACAAAAAGACAATCAACTGTAAATGTGTTACTTTCACTTGCTTAAAAACAAAAATAAAAAGGAACTGACGTAAATTTAGTTACATTTGTCATTAAAGTGTTTTGTGTTCAATCGACTCTTAGTTGTTTTTTGTTTTTTCCCTACAGTCTTTAGTTTACCAATACAAGCCTTTCATCTCATAGCCTGTTTAGATAGTTAAACGTAAGGAAAAGCAATGTGTCACCTGACTGGTTTGTTTTGCATGATGGCACGTCTGACTTTAGAAGAAGCTAAGATAAAATCGGTCTGTATGTAGATGAAATGCTTGTTTACTTTAACGCAGCCTTTAAATTTGGCAGGTTTTTTGTAAATGTTGCTGCAGGCTCGCAGTAGCCACCTCATCTCTCTCTAGCAGCAACACCTGCAATATGCAGGGGCGAGTCCTAAACATGAGCCCAGCATGTACTCCACTAAGCTTCATTATTTAAGCTACATACATTATAAGCTACATTATTTTTATATATAGCATAATAAAAAAAAAAAAAGATATCTACTGATAACATGTGAAAATTGATAATAGAAAAATGTAGCACGTTACATTACATGTGAACTCAATGTGCTTAACATGCAATATAAGGCCCATTAAAAATATACAGGGGACCACTAAGAGCCTGATCTGCTGGCTGCTGGGGGAAAATGTTATGTTTGATACCAGTTAAGAGTCGCAACAGCTGAATACAGGCGTGTAGAGATGGGGATTTTCTTACCTACAAACCAAACCAAAGAAGCTTTGCTATACTGCTGAAGGAAATTTAGCGGAATTGTAGCAAAAATATTGTTTGGTGCTTTTAAAAAATGTTTCTTGTTTTCTCAAGCATAAAAATATTGTTTTTCTTCCTCTAGTGTCCATATTTAACTGAAAATTAAGGTAATGAATGAGACTGATATGCTGAACAATGCTTACATACGTTCTCATACATCCAAGAAAAAGCCTATACGCAGACCATTAAAAAAACAACTTTAAATGCTACTTTAAATCTTTACCTGCATAGTTTGTGTGTGTGTTTCTTAAGTTAGATTCACTAAAATGTCAGAATGCCTTTTTGTATTTGGAACGTGTACCAAACAAACATTCTCTTTGCCCACGTTTAGTTTGTTGGAATTATTACGGACACCTCTTGTTTTCCCTGTGTCACTGCATTTAGGACAGAAATAATGAGAGATAATATAGTTGTACAAGTTGAAATAAACAGATTCTTAATGATTTGTGAAATATGAACCACGACATTGTTTCTTAACTTTTCACAGTGTTTTTGCTTGCTTCTGATTCAATCAGCAGATTAAGTCAGATTCAGTTCTTCTCACCGAAGGGCTCAATATGGTGGTTGCTGTTACTGTGAAAATTACACCTAAAATGTACAAAACAAAGTAAAATAACACAGCGGCTTTACACCCCTAAGTTTACAATGAACCATGCTGCAGGCTCTTTTTATATGATGGACAAAAATGGTTGTGGTTAGTATTCATTTTGTACATTTGGAGCACTTAAAGACTGTCACATGCACATCATCGATCATCGTCTTATGATTTAAAGCTTTTGCCTTTTGGTCTGAGGGGCTCCGAAAATGTCCTTGAGAGCACTTTGTAACAGGCTTCATGAGTTTGGATTTCAGTGTGTGTCAGGTCAGGTCTGCTTAACTTCTCAGATATTTTTCTTTCTTTGAAACTGTACAATGTTTAATACGATTTAAAAGACATAGTAGCTTAATGGTCTGAAATACCCTGCCATTATGAACCGTTTTGTTTCCAGTGATAAATACTTTGAATCTTTGTCTTTTCAGAGTCTTCAATTTTACAGTTGGAAGACCCAGACTGTGAGGAGGGAAGCAACCCGCCCTGCGAGTCTGTGTTCTCACTTAATGCAGAGAAGATCTTGGTGAGATTTCAAACACTAGTCTAGATCTAGAGCAGCCATGGCCTGTAACGGTTTCCTTTAGCGTTAAAAAAAAAAAAAGTATAGTATAGTATATATAGTCAAGGTTAAACCACAAAACACAGGTGTGTGTAAGCAGTTTATAAACCTTTTGAAATCTGTGTTCTAATGTTTTTTATGTTTTTTCCAAAGCAAGACATTCTGGTTATGTTTGAGTTTTACACACATTTTCTGTTCAGAGAGAAATAAAAAAATCTTAAGTTTCAGTGTTGATCAGATACTTAAGCTCACAGTGATGGGTGTGGTTGCTTTTGGTGCTTACACATGTAACCACACCCTAAGGTGCTGTTGGAGTGTGATACTGACACCCTATAATTCACCTCTATGTCACTGCTCCAGTGTGTGAAAACACGTACACTGCAGGGCTTCAACTTACCATTTAAAAAGGCCCAAATTTAATGACTTGGTGAATTGTAATAGAATGACATTCACTGATTGTAGTGATCATATTGGATCTATGTACTTAACGACCCCCCCCCCAAAAAAAAAAATGCAGTTCCTATGCATGAAAAAAAAACAGAACAGTACGGCACAGCTCATGCTTGGTGCTCTCCACCACAAGCTGCAAGATAGCCTTTTGGGGTTGGTGAAAGTGGTTAGTGAGTTGATAGACACGATGTCTGTGCTAAAGACGTTGTGACACACACACACACAAAATTGCAGGTGGCATGCTAGGTGCAGAAGCAACTGAAGACAAACCTGATCTAAGGAATTTGTGATGAAGGCTGCAAGATGTTTAGAATCAAGATTTCTTTTTTAGGGTGTGGGGTGGGAGTAGTGCAGTCCCACAGTTTTATGTTAGGTGAGATTTGATAAGGATCCCCAATAAAAGGAATGGGGCAAGTGCATGCCTTGTCAGTTGCCTTGTAAAATGCTGCCGCAGCAACATTTCCATGCTGTCCAATTTAGATACAGTAATTCCACTGCAGTGCTGCTGTTTGGGTTAACATAGCAAATACAAGATGGAAAAAAAGAAGCATTGTTGTTAATGCAGTAGTTTATTTTGCACATCGAGTCTTGAAATTCTTGTATGTGCTAAATTTCCAGTTACAGGTCTACCTTGAAATCTTTATGCCTGCATTTGGAATTTGAAATAAAAAGTTGCTGAGTTGTTCTCTGTTCAGCAGTAGATAATTCCTCAGAGTAACCCTGAGCTATTCAGCAGGGCACTTAAAATTGCTCGTAAAAATATCCTTGAAAAAGCTGTTAACAGTTATATTGAAAATGTCATTTTACGCAAGTTGTCAACACGTTCTAAAGCTCTCCAATGAACTGAAAACACAGGTGTCGACAGCATTTAAGTGTTGTCTTTTATGTTTTTTCTCCACTCAATTGAGTTGCCTTCACACAGGAAGGAAATGATTATTTTGTGCCTCTCTTGACATTTCTAATTTCTCCTTCTTGTCTTTTTTTTTTCTTCTTGTCGCCATCTCTTACAGAATCAGGCCAAATTGTTTATAGAACAGAAAAAAATACCTTTTCCTGTAGATAACCAAAACACAAATGAAGAGCTTGGTAAGTCAGCATGTTGTTCAAATGCTGTTCAAACACCTGATTGATGCAGCTAAAATTTAGCTTTTCATTGTCACTTTTTCTGTCATTGCAGCTATAGGTTATGTTCTCATAGGCAATGGACTTTATGATGAAGCCATTAAACACTTTTCACTCTTACTGCAGGTATGTGTGTGCATACATGTTACCCAATACGGCTCTGTAATAATTACCTTTCAGTTAACCTTTGAGAGATGTAGAAATTCTTTTGATGCCAAACAAAACACCTTTCTTTGCGTATTCTGAACATTTGTTCTGTTTGATACAGGGTGACCCAGAGCTGGTCAGTGCCATCTACGGGAGAGGGATAGCTTATGGGAAGAAAAGTCTGCAGGTAAGTGGCAGCTGTAGAATTCAGCACCAGTGTAAGACTTTCTCACCCACAAATATGAGTCAAACATGTTGCTGGTTTTAAGCGAGCCTGTTGTCTATAAATTAAGCAATTGAATGGATCTTCTACATATTGAACCTTTTTATATGATGTTTTTTTTGTCTGGATTTCTACCTGCCCAAGAACAAATGATGCAAATTAGTTGTGGCTAACTGGTTGAAGTGTGTCTTTCCTGCAACAACCCAAAAAACTACAAAGCAAATGTTTCTTTCCCAGGATTTTATTTTCCTTTTATACCATTTCACATTTTTATGTATTATTTTGTTGCACTTTGAAAGGTGCTGTAATAATAAAATTTACTTATTTATTTACTAGCCATTAAAAAGCATTTAAAGTGGGCCACTGGTTATAAGCAACCTTACTGGTGACCTGATATCCAAGTGGTGAAAGCAGAGAGCACGTTAAACTCACAGGTCAATATCTCTTTGTGTGCATGTGCATCTTCACTGTCGCTTTCCACTAAAAGAAACAATGCTACAAAATGAGCTTCAAAAGCAACTTTTCTTGTATTGTGGGATACAAGTCTCAGTAGCAGAGGTTTCAGATGTAACCGCTCTTGTTATTTCCACAAAGAGATGAGGAGTCTGTGAACGCATCTGAGGAATACTGCTTTCAGAAAGAGGGAGGACTGTTTTACACTCGATGTGAGATCTTCCTTCTATCCTCGAAAAATTTGAGGATAGAAGTCCCTTAGGCAATAGTCACACAGGCCCAGAGACCTATTGGCAACCATCTGGACAGGAGAACTTACATCAGGAAGGCATAATTTCCCTAGAGGTTGCCAGGAAATATGTAAATGATTATGCATGAAAGATATTGAATTAAAATGTAAGTAAATAATGTTTTACATCTAGTTTACTAGGATGCCCATCATAACTCCCAGCCTCTGAAATTTTTAAAGAGCCTGTAACCAGAGCAGATTCTTTTTAAATTCTTTCACTATAATCTTTGGGAAACAACTGTCTGCAATGACTAAATAGGTGAATCGAAACAAAACAAACACTACTAATATTCTGCTTTCAGTGTTATGCAAAATGGTTTTTAATGGAAGCTAATCTGTGATTGAAGCATAATTTAATGTTGCAAGAAGGGAAATAAACCAATAATATAGTGTTTTCATTACTGAAGCAGTTATCCATCTGCATATCATCTTAGTCATAATATATTTATGAACTGTCGTAAAAGATCATCAAAGGCTGTGGCTTAGGAGGTAGAATGAGTCCTCTATTAATAGGAAGGTCAGTAGCTCTCTGCATATGTAGAATAAGTCCTGTGTGAATGTAGACTTTATAAATACAATCCACTTATGATATTTACTTGGGAGAGAATGTTGCTGGTATTTTATCAATGTGTCAGAAACACTATTCACTACTGTGCTGTGAGGGACTTGAGATTAAACGTCAAGCCCGATGACTCATACTTCAGACTGTGCACACACACTTTGTTTAATGGACAGCCTTTATTTGCATTTGTCAGATGTTGAAATATATTTATTCCTATTCTCGTTTTATGTTCTGCCAAATTGTTCTCAAAATCAGATTTAAAACAATTCTGACCTCCGCTGAGTTTGGGCTGCACAGAGAGTTGCTGTGTGGATGTGTTTTGTTGGACGCCTTTGGGGAGGTTTGTGGGTTTCGTTTTGGTTTATTTGTCCTTAAATAAAAAGAATCCTGTATTTTGTTGACAACAGCAGTTTCAGGTAAATGCAGAGTGATTCAGTGTGACATTCAATGAATGCCAATTCAGTCTGCCAGGATGCTGCGGTTATGGTAGTCTGCCCTCCAGAATAGGGGGGAGAAGAAAACTGCTTAGAGTAGTTTTTGTGTTTGGTGTTGTTTGTGGCTTTGTTCCAAGTTTTGTGCGCAATATGTTAACGTTTATGTCAACAAAATGTAAGTGCCTCTCTCCTCTTGTGTGTCCATGCCAGGATATAAAGAATGCTGATTTGGCATTGTACGAGCTCAACAGAGTCATCACCCTCGAGCCCAGCTGGCCTGAGGTCTACGAGCAGAGAGCAGAGGTGAGAGGTGACTCTGTGCCAAATGTGATCTATTATTAGTATTCCTCAGCACTGATTTATTTTATGGCTTTCAAGTACTGCAACAAGCTAAGACAACAACTGTTGGTAGCTGTATAATTGAACTGATTACATGTAGTTGCCTTCCTCCTGTTTTGTAGCTAATTTCTCTGCTTCTAATTGTCAAGTTTCGGATTAATTTTGAGCTTTAATGTCTAATCAAGCAGTCAGAAGTTGTACCAAAGAGAATTCGTGTTCCATGAACTTTTTAGGTTCAGTTTTGAAGTGGAGTTGGTGACTTTTAAAATGCATCAAGCTGTGTTGTTTTGGTTTTTTAGACTAGAAAATACATCACAGCCAAATGAAAAAGATCTGCAGTCAGTGAGTCATCAGCCAGACATAAAATGTGAATGAGCTACAAATGTGCTCCAAGCAATCAGTCACCTCTCTCCAAGTCTGATGAGCTCCTCCTGCTTTGATTTTCTCCCAAATGATTTATCTTGACTATTGAAGTTGGATCAGTTTGGAAAGCACAGAGTTTTTTTTAATCATAAAACATCATTTGCATTATTCACAAATAACTCCCCCAAACAGGTTTTGTAGATTTCATCTGCTTTCACACACACTGCATCCTGGAACTTTTCTAGGCATTACCCAGCAAGATATACTTGATAATGCAAATTAGCCTGGCAGCTTCCTACTGCAAAGTCTCTGTGATATCCGATTATTTTGATGTAAGACTAAAGGATATTGAATTCGCAGCTAGCGAGTTGCTTTGCCTCCTGGACATTTTACTCAGCCTGAACCTAAACCACACTGAGTTTTTTTCAGAAGTGAGAACGTGCCAGGCACAGACTACATCCTGTTGTGCACAACATATGAGAAATGGTGTCTTTATACGAGTCTGATTCTCTTAACATGTTCAGAAATAGCTTGAAACACATCCTCAATAAATGTTAGCAACTTTTCATATAATCATGGTTACTGATGAAGGTGATCTCTTTATATTTGGACAACACATATAGAAGTAGTGAATGTCATCGGTCACATTTGGAGCAGCTGCCTTTTACTACAAATAATTGACAATGCATTGTCATTTTGAAAGAGGCATAATATAAATTTTAAAGTGAATTCAAATAGGTTTTAAGCTACAGTATAGCAAATAATATTAGGCAATAGCAATATTCAATAACAGTTGGGCACATAAATAGTCACCAGACATGGTTAGCGTTGTGGCAACTCTCACAAGATTAAAGAAAAGAATTCCCCCACTGCAGGTTTCACTCTGCTGTTTTATTTACCATTTCCTCTTTGGGACTTTTATACCATTTGAATTTAAACACAACACAGTGAAAAATGTAAATAAAAACAGAATGAAATGCTTTGCAAATCTCAAAAACCATAAACCATATTTTTATTAACAGTAGAGCATAGAAAACCTATCAAATGTTTAAACTGAGAATAATATTAGTTTACTTTGTGTTTGATGGCAGCAACATCCCATGTCACTAAAAAAGCTGGGAAAATGTCATGTTTATTGTTGTGTAGCATTCCTCCTTCTTTTAACAAGAGGCTGTAATCCTCTGGGAACTGAAGCAGTCCCGAGTCCAGATGTGTCAAATGTTTTCAGTTGGTGAAAGGTGTGGGCTGCATGCCAGTTCAGGACCTGGACTCTTTTTTACTATGAAGCCATGCTGTTGTATTAGCTGTACTGTGCAGTTTAACCTTACCTTGCAGAAATATGCAAAGCCTGTCCTGAAAATGATGCCATCTTTTGAGCACTGCAGTGACTGAATCATGCCTGTTTTTCATGAAATAAAAACAACAAACTTATCTTTATTCCCCAAAAATGTTCTTTTGATGCAGTGTAAAAGCAAAGAAAATAATTCAGTTCATCAGTATTTTGCAACAATAAAATTAAAAAGATGAAACGTGCAATTTGGTGCTTGTGTGTTTAGATCCTGTCTCCTCTGGGTCGCATTAGCGAGGCTCTGAGTGACCTGACAAAAGCCATCCAGCTACAGCCCTCAGCTCGTCTCTACAGGCACAGGGGAACGCTGCTCTTCATTTCAGAGGTTCGACAGTCAGATGCAGCATGAACGTACATATATGCCTGTATGTTTCCATGTGATGACTCTGTGCTTTGCTCTCTGTTCAGGACTATGTGGCCGCTATGGAGGACTTCCAGCAGTCTTTAGAGCTTAAGAAGAATCAGCCTATTGCCATGCTGTATAAAGGCCTCACCTTTTTCCACAGAGGCATGCTCAAGGTGAGCTGTTCACCGTCTCATATTCCCAGTATGGCCTTGTCCATATCAAAGATAAATAAACAGTGTGATATCACTCACTGGTTAATAAATTACTGTTTGGAAGACTCGTGGCCTCCACCATCACATTTTATTGTAACCAGATAACCACAGATAATGACATAGTGCACTGATTAGCTGGTTTTGTTAGCAAAGTGTATCTCTAATTCTTGTTATAAGGAGTATGGATTCCACTGTATGTTATAGCATTATCAAACTTGACAGTCTGGAGTTTTGCTCTTGTTTTTTTCTACAATCAGATATATCAGAATTTGTCATATCAGAGTTTTTGTTGCACAAACATCCTATTAGTGCATGATTACACTTCATTTGTGTATCCTGTCTATATTTATCTTTTCACTTTTAATTACCAAAATATTATTTGAGTCAACAACATCAAAGAGGATTTAATTTAATGCAAACTAACAGGGTCGTTCTCAGCTCGCTGCTGGAAACACATTCACAGAAATGCATTCAAATGTCAGCTGACTGTTTGGGGTTTTTTGTTTGGTTTTTTTGGGGGGGGTTGTTTAAATATTATATTTGCGACTTACAGTGTCAGGAGATGAAGGGAAGGAGATGAATAGCTTAATACAAGCTCAAGCTTATTGGGTTTCATGCATATTGTGTTCTAAGCTTGTCTAAATTTCTGCAGATTTAACTTATTTACATATATGCAGCTGTGAAGCAGATGGAACCACATGCTTTGGTAAAGTTATTCAATTTGCTTTAACAAAAGTCAACTTTGTTCAAGCTGACTTTTTTTTCATTTTCTTCCTGGCGTCTCTGACAGATGAGATTGTTGCTGTGTCATACCAGAGTTTTCTGCTAGCTGTTTGTTGTGCTTGGTGATGTTTAGCACGTTCATGCTGAAAGTGTCTCTTAATGCTGGGGTAGCTGCTTTCGTCTTTGATAAAACCCGCTGTGCACCACAAGGGAAGTAAAAATGGTAGATGAATGATAAGACGTTGCTTAACATCTAATTAGTCTGCCCAAGCCAAGTGCATTTTTATTTCCCACACACTGACTAATGTGTGCAGAGCAGCACTTGAATCTGCAGGTATTCATCTACAAGACATGTAGATGCTAAACATAAAGGATTTCCTGGGGGAATCCCAGCTGCAGCTCCTGCAGGCAGGTGACAGTTAACTGCAAACAACAACATTAGTGCTTTTAATGATAGTTGCAAATGTGATTGTAGAAATATTTGCTTACTCTAGATGAGAGCGTTGTGCCCATTGGTGGAATCTGCTTTTTATTTGCATGCTATGCACTAAGGTTGGGCGATATGTACATTTTTTCTAACTGACATTCATCAGTCCCATATATGACGATAGGCGATACATCTGCACAGGCGACTTTTTGATGGGCGGAGCAATGTAGTCATGCACGGACTGTTTTGCACGTTTAGAACACAGAAGAAATCCAAACTTGGAGGCACTAGTTGTCCAAAAAAATTGAAAGTCGCCAATTTTGGATTTCTTTGGCTTTAAACTGGATTAAAGAGCCAAACCTGAGGATGTAACCACAACCACCGCTTGTGCAGATGTATATTTAAATAAAATGTTTTGTTTCCTATTTCTGAACATAGGCTGCTGCCTTTCTTTCTTTCTGTTATGAGTTTGAGTAAATAAATCGCTCCATTTGGGGGCAGTCTGAGGAGGGTGCATTTGCTCCCAGCTGGAAGAGGGTGACATTAAAACAGCCCTATTTTTTTTAAATTTATTTATTTTTTCCATTGACTGCTTCTTTTAGCTTCAACGGACATTATTAGCAAACCTACTCATGGGCAAATAAATAAATAAAACGACCAGTGAAAGGCTCAACCTATCGTCGATGGTTGATAAATTCGTCCAACTGTCCAACCTTACTTGGCTGGACCAGGCTGAAATTAGTTGGCTTTCTATGGCACTTGGTGTGAATAGTCACACATGGTGTCTGATGATCCCCTGTCTCAGTCTCTCTGTTGCATCACTATAATACTGATTTCATGCTTTCTTTCTTAAATATCTCAGTTGGATGGTTTGCCACAATATTTTGTAATAACGTTGTGCTAAACACCTAAAACTATCAGCATTACTGTCAACCTTTGCTTGTAAAGCTAGGACTGTAATTATAGTAAACAGTTTAACTGTTAAACTAAGTGTTAAACAGTTACTGCTAAACTCCAGCATTTAGCCATGTCCACACTGGGGTTACATAAGACAAAATCTGAATGTGTTAAAGTTCTGAACCACCTGCTGACTCAGAATTTCTGGTCTGCCGTGTTCCTTAATGCATTTCCTCTCAACTGTGTTGTCAATGTATGTGAAAGGTTGCTTTTTTCTTTATCAGGAAGCCATTGAGACCTTTAAAGAAGCACTGAAACTGAAGTCTGACTTTATAGATGCCTATAAGAGCCTCGGACAGGCCTACAGGTACAGGCACTCTGCAGCATGCTTTCTTACTCCATGCATAAATGCAGGATGTCACTTTGACATAGGGTATTTAGCCAAATATCAACAGTTGCTTTTCCTCTTCCTTCTCCCAGAGAGCTGGGTGACTTTGAATCAGCCATGGAGAGCTTCCAGAAAGCCCTCATGCTGAATCAGAACCACATCCAGTCTCTCCAGCTCCGTGGCATGATGCTGTATCACCATGGCTCTCTGCAGGAGGCCATAGGCAACTTCAAGGTAGAATTATCCACAACAAAGTAAAACAGGCTGTCCTTACACCCCTCTCTGCAATTACACAGGGTTTGCTAGCAGCACAAGGAAAGAAGTGGTAATGGTTTCATATGCAATGTAATTCTCTTGTTTTCCTCAGAGGTGTCTTCAGTTGGAGCCTTACAACGAGGTGTGTCAGTACATGAAGGGGCTGAGTCACGTGGCCATGGGGCAGTTTTACGAAGGCATCAAAGCTCAGACTAAAGTCATGTTGAACGACCCTCTGCTGGGGCAAAAAGCCAGCTCTGAATACCTCAAAGTTAAATACCTCAGAGGTGGGTTTATACACACACACACATGCATACACATTATGACTGATCGCAGATAAAGAGAAGAATGCTGATTCAAGATCAGTCTTATTTTACAGGGTAAATAAAAAGTCTGCTCTCCAAGTCAGAGCTCTGCCTACAGGATAAACTGGCAGATGAACAAACCTCAGAAACCAATGACTGGGGTGATTTATGGCAGCTACAACTGTCAGCTTATAAGACTGCCGCTATTATGCTTAGGATACCACGTGACACCTGGAGACTTCCTATAGAGTCCATTCAAGACATGTTTTCAAAGAACCTAGAGCACAAGAGTTGTTCAGGCATAGGTGTGCAGTCTATTACAGAATCTATACTGAATGCATTGTTACTAATTGTTTTAACAAAAAAGGAAACGGACAGTTATATTTTAGATTCTCCAAAACGTCACAGTGCTTGTTTTTTCATGTATTTTTTATATTTTCAAATGTTCAGAGTTTCTTTGAGCATTGGAGGCTTTCATTAGAACAATTGTTAAAGTACAAAGTTGAGGAAACAAGGGGGAGTGACATGCAGCACAGCTGAGGTCAAGGCCACCAGATGTGACATACAGAGGAGTATTTCCAGTGTATTACTTTTGCATTAAAGAATAGCATTTTCTTCTGATTTAATTTTCAGGAGAACTATTGCATTGTTAAAAAACCCAGGAATGTTAGAATTTGATGGGCTTTTTTAAAAAACAAACGCAAAAACAGAAAATTAAGGCTTCTCAAAGTCCCCTTGGTTCATCAGAAGAAAGCATTCATTCATTCAGTCTCATTTGTGCTTGTGCCCTTTTTTTTTGTATTATTTGGCCATGATAGACTCTTCTGTATATCTTAACCATGCTTTTTCTTTATTTTTACCTTCAGTATCCTTTGACCTAAACCACCACCTCATAATGCACCACCTCTGGTCTTTTTACTTGTCACATAAAGGTCCTGTTTACTTGATTTCTTCCAGAGTACTCACGTTACCTGCACTCCCACCTGGATATCCCAGTAGCAGAGTACAACGTGGACCAGGACTTACCGGGAAACTTTAAGAACCACTGGGCCAAAAACCTTCCTTTTTTAATAGAGGACTATGAAGAACAGCCTGGCCTGCAGCCACATATCAAGTGGGTTTGTGGGACTGTTAACTCTGACCATAACGATCAACTGTAATGATGCTGCGATGATGAAGTGATTAATCTAGCTATTCTTTATATAAATGTCAAGCTTTTTCTGAGGCCAAAGGAGAAATTATTGTGACAGATTACATTTATTTTCACATTTCAATCCGAATTTAATTTAGGATGCCCTACACTTCACCTTAAGTCTGTCATCATAAGAAAATCTAGGAAAATCAGGAACATCATAACTGTGGTTTCCTGAGCTTCAGTTTGTAGCAGTTTTCATGAGCTAAAGCACGAGGCAGCGTTTTGTGGTTGAAAACCAACACCTGCCATGTTTTCCATATGACACGAAAGCTCCTGTGTTCATCAAGTAGATGTTTTTATGCATGCATGTCAGCAGGCTCAAACTACTTCATCTGTTTTGTTATATTGTAGAAGGTTGACAGCCAGTGTCTAGGAAAAAAATGTGCGTTTCATGAAAGCCTTAATCTCCACGTCTTTCTGGTTGGCAGAGACGTGCTGCCACAGAACTTCGACAGCTACAGCAATGAAGTTCAGAAGCTGATCTGCACGGCCGACCATCTGGGGGCACTCATGCAGTACGACACTCCTGGTTTTCTACCCAACAGGAGAATACACAGAGGTACCGCCGAGACAATGCCACAGTTTGAAAAGATCATCAAGTGTTAACAAGAGCCTAAAATTAAAGAGCTGTCTGTGCTTCTTCAGCCATGGGATTAGCAACCTTAGAGGTAATGCAGGCCATGCATCGGACATGGAGCAACTCCAAAGTGCGAGTCAACGGCAAAACCAGGCAAATGCAGTGGAGAGACATGTTTGACATAGCAGTCAAATGGAGGAGGTGAGAAACATGGTGCAAGTTTCACAAAATAAAAAGGACTTTGTACCAAATTTATATGAGATCACTCAGGTCGAATTTATGGAGGCACCATTATATGTTTGACATCTGTATTTCCATTGGAAAAGAGTGGCATAATGCAGAGACTGTAGGGAATTAATTTTGCCGTCACTCTTTTAAGTGCATGTTTGGCTTGGACAGACGTTAATGAGTAAAACACCTAGAAAAATGTTTTTTTCTCATTCCACAAGAAATTGGGTGTTGTGAAGAGGAACTATGGGATCCTAATTATCTCCAGGAAATGACTCTAAAACTGAAAACTGAAGGAATAGGAAGGAGACAGATGCTGACATATGATGTTTCAACTGTCCTGCATTGCAAAATGAAGTCTAGACTGAAGCTGACACATGGCTTAAGTTTCTGAGGTTTTTACTGTGTGAGCACTAGAAAGAACTCAGCAGTCAGGTCGTTTTTCACATTTCACTGTGGTTTACTTATCCTGGTAACTAGCCTGTTCTCACCAATTCTGTCCAAATTCAACAAGTCACTTTCCCACTAGAGTGTTTGATGTGTGGTTAATTAGATTGCAGTGTTGAAACACTAAACGGGCCTTTCCTGTACTCGTAGGATCGCTGATCCAGACCAGCCAGTTTTGTGGTTAGACCAGATGCCTGCCAGGAGTCTCAGTCGAGGCTTCAACAATCACATCAACCTCATCAGGTAACAACTTGGCCTCGAAGACAGCGTCAAACACTCTCATGGGTTATAGGATTGAATTTCCATATGGCCTCACCTTGTAGTGCGGAAACATTTATTTCAATTTCTTGGAATATGATGTATCTCTATCATTCTGTTCCCTGTGAGAGCCTCATTCTGAGAAGCTCCTTGAAAAGTAGTATATTGAGGTCTGTTTTTCCCTCTTTATTTGTCCAGGGGGCAAATTATCAACATCAGATACCTTGCCTACTTTGACAACATACTTGACTTCATCAAAGACAGAATACTGGTCTACCACGGGTAAAACCTGAATCACAACTCCAATGACTTTGCAGAATTCCTTGAAGCATCATCTATGGCTTAATTGTTCTTGCAGTGTTCTTGCTGTTTCTGTAACCTACATGTTCTTATTGTCTGTCTCAGGGCGTACAACCCCAGAGGCCTCCTGGAAGTCCGCCAAGCTCTAGAAAATGTGAATAAAGTAGAAGATTTGCTTCCTATAATGAAGGTAAGAAGGATATGAGAGAATCTAGTTCAGGTTGCACTCAAGGATTCAAGTGGATATTAGTTTTAGTCTACTAGTAACACTAGTGATATTCATTACTTCCCAGTTTTGTGTGTGAACTTATATCTATAGCCTAGATATGGAGCCTAGATCTACATGCTGTTGATCCAAAAAATCACATCAAACATGACTGACAGAAACTGAATTAGAAAAAAACATAAAAGTTTAAACACATGTATTACATTTTTCCATATTAAATTTAATCAATATTTGGTTGTCATGTAGTTTAAAATATATTTTAATATTGATGAATGTTTGCCCATAAGAGACCTTTTAAAGCAGCACAACATCCTGTTTTTTTTTTTTTTTGGATGGGTGTTTTCTTTTTGTTTTTTTGTTTGGTGTGTTTCTTCCTGAAGCAGTTCAACAGTAAAACCAGAGATGGCTTCACAGTCAACTCGAAGGTGCCCAGCCTAAAGGACCCTGGGAAAGAGTACGATGGCTTCACCATTACCATCACTGGAGACAGGTGCAATCTGCCGTTCTCTGTGTTCAATATTCTAAAACAACACTTTCATCAACACTAACAGTTCATATAAAAATAAATATAAATATTTGAACAGGGGAATAATAATCACAAGGATCTCCTAGAAGATATATTTCATGAACAGTAAAGTATTTACATACGTAGGTATGTATACAAGACAAAGGTCAATCAAAAGGTGCTAAGAATATTCTTCTTGTGCACAGATAAGGAGCAGTAACTGTCAGAATTTCACGTTTTACAATCAGCATTGGGAGCGCTGGATTTTTGTGCAGCATGCTTGTAGTTTTCTTTCACATTAATCATGCTGTGCAGCATCAGTTTGTCCCAAATCTTGAGGAGTCCAAGCCAGACCATTTGCCAGAAATGAACTGAATTAGAATTATTCAGGTCATTATAATAATAATAATAATTATTATTAGCCATACCTGCACAGTTGTCTCTTTCCACTGGTACTATTCATCATTTGTAGCTCCCCGTGACTTTGTCCTTTCACTTTGACTGAAATCAAATTTTAAAAATGGCAGAAACAATGGGAATTTTGTATCTCTGAAAAAAGTGACTACTTAAAAAAGGAGGGCAGTTGAAATTTAATGTTTTCATTTAATATGTGCAGACTCATTACTGCAAAAACCAGTAACACCTATTTTTTAACATGTGCTCCACAGTTTTTAGGTAGATGCTTTACACTTCTACACACATAACCAGATATTTCCAAGTTTTACCCTCTGAAGTGTTTTTTTTTCTTTTCTTTTTTGTAAATTTTGTTTTATTTCAGGGTGGGAAACATGTTATTCTCTGTAGAAACGCAGACAACTGAAGAGCGGACGCAGCAGTACCAGTCAGAGATAGAGTCCATCTACAAAGACCTCACTGCCAAAGGAAAGGCATTGATGTTATCAACCGAACTCGGGGTAAGATTCCTGCTGGTAATAGAAAGCAGATGGTGGTGCAATGTGAAATATCCATTTCTGGACAGCTTTAAGTAGATGACATCTTAAGTTAACAAAGGATGTTCCTTCCTCTAAAGCAATACCTGCAAATAAAATGTTGTTTTTGTGTTTCAGCTTTGGTTCTAGTTTTTTTCTTGTGGTTTCATATCTCTGATATTGTCTCTAGTGTCTGGGGTTTGGACATTTGGCAAAAAGATTTTTTTTTAAATATATTTTCTGAAGAATAAATAGAAAATATTTACAAGTTGAATTCTGTTTTAAGCAGTATCTAGCAAAAAGGTTTTGTATCGAGCTAGAAACAGAGTCACAGCTGCAGGAGAACAGATGGAGCTGTCAATATAAACATAAAAACACATTAAGTCGTATTTATTATTTATTAGAGTAGCAAGGCTGTTTACAATCTCTTTGCATAAGAGATAAAAGTCACTTTAGAAAAGACAAGGCAGTGTTCGAAAGCAAAACAAAACATAAGCATCATGTCTGTTATTTCCTCAGCGTCTTCCTCTCCCCTCTTATTCCCCCTCTTGTCCTCTCTACTGAAATCACGTATTTTACTTGTCTAGACAAGCAAACTATGAGTAGAACTGATTAATTCTCTGTCACTGTTGGATTTAGCTGAGTTTATTTGCTGTCATTCATTTCTGTTGATGGTTTTCTGTCAAACTGCCGGAATAAACAGAACAAACCATTCAAGCAGTTTGTCTTGATTAAAAAATCTGTGCCGGCAGCCTACCGTGACTTGTCTGCTAATTTATACAGACAGCACAACAGTGGTCCTGACTAAACAACTAACAAACAAGAACTAAACAGGATGTTCTCACTCCTCTGTAACAGAGACCTGGAACAATGTGAACATCCCTCCTGACTTTCGCTCTTTGTTCTGTTTTATTATGTCTGCAGCCTTCTCTGCTTTCACCCCGTTTAAGATAAACCGTAACTGAAGACAGCACACAGTGCAGCAGAGGTCACGACTACATTAAGCCTTTGTTCTCAACTGTACAGCTGATTCTATGATGATCTTTGTTCTTTCAGGATGCAGATGCAGTGTGTAACCTGATCCTCTCCTTGGTTTATTACTTCTGCAACCTCATGCCTCTTTCCAGAGGATCTAGGTAATTTCAAAGTCAAAACAGCCCACAGGTGCAATGTGAAGCATTTCTACATTTGAATGATAAATGGGAGAGAGAGTTTCTTTGTAGCTGTCATCTTAGTTTGGAAAATATCCCAGAAACAATGGCCTAGTAAGACTGAAAGATAAATGCAGGACAATAATAATGTTATTTTAGTCTGCGGTCTTGAAACTTGAAACTCTTGAAACATGTCAGAGGAAGTATTCAGCTAATGAAGCATCACTTTCTCCTCAGTGTGGTGGCTTACTCAGTGGTGATGGGGGCACTGATGGCCAGTGGGAAAGAGGTCATTGGTAGGATCCCGAAAGGAAAGGTAAATTAATGTGAATCTTACTTCAGTAGAAGAATATATAGCAAGTTTTTATTGACTTAACACTAATTCTGTATGACATTTGTTATATATGGAAGTAATGCATAGGACCAAATGCAATTTTTTAGCAGATAATTAAACATTTTAAAAGTAATATTTTAAAAAATGGGTAACAAAAATTTGAAAGCTGTCTATTGTTATTTACACTGGTGCTTGCTCTACCATATGTTATGTAAGATTACATTACTTATACGGTCTAGAATATGTTTCTAGGTCTCAAGTCGTGTTTAAATGAGCACTATGTACATGTAGGTGCTGATTTACCTGGTACAGAAGGACTGCATACTTCATGATTTCCTCTTGCAGGAGTGGTGCAACATTCAGAGATTCATTTTTTTGGTGATTTGTGGTCACTTCATCTTCTGTACAATTTTGGACCATCATCACTTCAGCCAAAGTCCAGATGGTTTCAGTGGTCCAGAGTGGCAGCAGAGCAAAAGTTCAGTCTTCAAAATAACATATAATCAGACTGGAAAACTTTTTCCTCATAAGAAGGAAAAATCGTTAGCTCTGCACCAACCTCCCTTGATGACATATTTGATAACAGTCCAGGAATAATCAGTTTAAATCCGTTTAGTTCTTTTTGCCTGATTAGTGATGACATCAGTGTCTGCTGCCTTCACCTGTTTCTCATATGTTAACTAATAAACATGTTTAATTAAACTTCAGGTCATAGTTTTCTTCAACTTTGCAGTGCTTTTTTGGTACTTGCTTTAATAATTAGAGATTACAAGTGCTGGGATGTATCCGCTGAATTGAAAGTGGGCCAGGGGTCAGTCCTTGTCTAAAATCAGATGTGGTCTTTCGTCTATGATACATCCTGGTATCGCTGATCTCTGTCTCCTGCCATTTACTGCATGTAAGAGAGGATTGTTCGCGTTCCTTGTTCGTGTTCAAGCAGGTGAAAGCAGGTGTCTCACAGATGGTATGAACAGTTGGCAGCCCTGCTGTGTTTTTCTTCATATTGTTGCTTTTTAAGGAATTTTCCAAAACCCTTCATGATTTAGTCTGACCACATTGGAAAGAAAGCGGGCTTCTCATTTTTGCTACACAGTGTTTAACTTCTATAAAGTTATCTGTCAATTTTTAGAAAAGCTTTCTTTTTTTGTAAATCTGCACTGCAAAGAAAGAGCAGGAACTGTGGCTTGTTTAACTTCAAGTGTGTCTTGGAAAGCATGGTGCTCAGGTTTATTTACACGCGTCTTTATTTATGGAAATGTGGCCTTCGCTTCAACTACTGTACCTATCCTTTAAGCTGGTTGTGGTTGTGCGGGAGTTTGGGGGGGGTTGTTTGTTTGTTTTTGCTTGATTTAAATATATATATATCTTTTCAGCTGGTAGATTTTGAAGCCATGACCACACCCAGTCCAGATAGCTTCAGTAAAACAGCCAAGAGCTGGATGAATCTCAAGAGGTACAAAGAGTAATTATTTCTCTGGTGTGTTATTTGTCTGCTTCAGAGGCACATTATCTGACATTTTGTCTTCTTCTCTAGTTTACCAAGTTGGTACCAGAGTCTTCCATCTGTAGCAGAGTCCTTCCCGACAACCAGAACAATGATCGAGGTCCTCAACACAGACTCATCTTCACATTGTCCAAAAAAGTCTTAACACGACTTGTGCACTGCAGAGAGGTCTGTTTAGGAAAGTCTTAATAATAAAGCTCCTGCACTGGGTAGAACCTAAGGGACCGTCATCTTCTACATCCCAATCAACACTGGACTGAGATCGGCAAAAAACATCTCGGCACAATTAATTAGGAAGTAATTATTTAAAATGTAATAAGGGTTTTGGCAAAGTAGTAGTGTGAGCTCTTTTTGAACCTTGAAGGAAATGAAAGGCTTTTAATGCAAATTCATGGGATTGCTTTACTCTTTAAAGAGGTGACCTCTGTTTTAATTTACCAAAAGTTGATCTTACTGTTTTATCCAAATCTTTGTTGCCTGTTGTTTCTCCTTAAATCCATGTAAAAACTCAGCTTCTACTTAAGAAACATGGTTTGAAGGGTTTTCAGAAATCTTGGGTTGACATGCTAAGTCACCTCTGTGCCACCTGTTTTAAGTTCTTCAACCTCTGTTGTCAGGCAATTCAACATTTTTCTTTTCTACTTCTTGTAGCATAATTTTAACTCGCAGAACTCTAAGGATAAATTTAGGTGCTTTTGTTATTACTGGCCGATGTTAATTTCTTAGATCCACACTCTGTGTTTGTGGAAACGATACTGGATGGTGAAAGCAGGATGTTTCAGTTTGTTTGGGATGCAGAAGAGATTCTGTCCACCTTTGCTCTTTCTCTGCTTTATAGGCCTTGTGCCTCAGACACCCAAAGCACAACCAACGCCATCTGTCCATCGGTCGGTATGAACAAGCTTTCTTTGCAGAGTCATGCCGAAATCTCTACAAATCTCTTACTTTAGGTTACCAAGAATGTGAAATGGCACTTTCTGGTTTTATTTAACATTAAAGATTGTAATTGGCACTTTAAACATTTTTTGTTAAACCACTGCTGTGCACGCACACAGAATCCAACCTTTTAGCAGAAAATGAGTCTGGGGGGTTTTAAAAATATGGAACAAATTTTTCAGGGCTATTGTTTGTCAGCACTTGAGCAAATATGATTTCTTTTATTATTTTCTTTTTTTTATGATGAATAACAACAGTCAGAGATTTTAGAGAGCTTTCAGAGCCCTTTGGCGCTTTTTGAGTAAAATATCAAACATTCACCAAATCTGCAGGTGTCTTGTCGTTATCAGTTTTGAATCTACCAAAATTACAAAAAGTCAAAAAGTTTCTTGACTTTTTCTCTGATCTTTTATAAGTTCAATCATTTTGGGGTGTTTTTTCATTACAAATGTATTAGACCATCTGTCATTAAAAACAAAAAGAAACTCTTAGAAATCTCCCCAGAACTTGTTTAAAACAAAAAATTAAATACACAAAGTTTAACCTGGCCCAATCAAGCATAACATTCAACCACTAAAACATTTTTCTTCCATGGAGCAACAATAAATGATTGCAATTTGGTGTTATAATCAAAAAATAATTGCTTTACTATTTTATTGCTTGTTTTTGTAAACCTACATTTACAAATTGATGGATAATGATAATTATTTATATTATTTTGCATTAAAAATATTGATTAAGCTCTTGATTAGAGAGCTTTTGCATTCTGGTAATCTAATAAATATGTTAAGCACATGTAGCTGATAGCTAACATAAAACACCCTAAATAAAACCACAAAGAAATCAAACCAGCGAATTGGGAAGAAGCTTCTTTATAGTTTAAATCATTAGCTCTTAAACACTACATTTAAATTTTTAAAGTTTATGAATGTAATCTGACTTACCTGACCAGAAGCTCCAGATGATCGTCCTCTAACATCTGTGACTGTTGTGCCTTTAAAGATTCATTATGGATGGAGAAAAGCACACCGCATTTATTTCCTTCCTGTCTTCCCTCGAACTTGCATCAGCTGCCTCTCTTACATTGGATGTTAGCTTATAGATTCAATTTGCTTCCTCATCACACCTGAGAGCAATATCTTTGGGAGATAAGAGCTCATGTACCTCCACATGTCTTAAAGATTAAAATATTGTCTTTGATTATTTTAACCCCCCTTGATTATTACATATGTAACAAGTTCTTGTTTGAGTTTTTGATATCTGGAGAAAATCTGGTCTGAATTGGAATGTACTTCAGTTTAAATAATAAGACTGATGGTGTGGTCTTTTTTTGTTTCTTGGTTTGTTTGTTTCAGAAAATCTGGGTGAATCCTGCACTTAGGTAAAATGTAAACATGCAGTAACCTATGGAAATAAAATTATTTTAGAAAAGAAATTTTAAGCACAATGATGAACAAAATGAGAAGGTGTGACTCACCTGGACTAATCTATCATATTCTGTGGCCTTTAATGCTTAAAGACACACCGTTAATAGTCATATCAATACTGCAGTAGTTCTTTTTTTGAATGTCCAGAACAAAGCAGTCTCTCCAGTGTTTAATTGGTTTTCTCACTTCACCAAAACGTCAGGTCCTTCGGGGTTTTTTTCTTATTGATGGTTATGCTAAATGGTTGTTCTTTTCTTTTCTGTGCTGGGTGTCCCAGTCATTTATTTCTGCAATGGGCTTTAGAGTGAGGAGTGCACAACTTATCTAATGTCTTCAGACTTGAAGGAGGGACTTTTTTATGAAATGAATGTTCAGCAGTTAATAAAAGTGTTTGACAGTTTTAACAGTTTGTGGTGATTTTTTTTATTTCCTCACAAGAAGTTCACAAACAATAATTTAGTCAAAAAGAAAGAAAAATGCATTCATGTTTTGGTGTGGCAGACCGTCAGTTCTGTCCTTACAACGTATATATATTTAAATTACATGTACCAAATGAAAGTGAAGTCAATAAAGAAGTGTGCGTCCTCCTTTGGCTGATCGCTCTAGTGGTCACCACAGCAGATCTGGTTTTCCTCTTTACCTCCTGCCTGGCAGCTCCATCTTCAAAATCCTTTGTCCAGTATATTCACCATCCCTCCTCTGCACGTGTCCAAACTATTGAACATTCACATCTCACAACTTTGTCTTCAAACTGCTCAACCTGAGCCGTCCCTCTGATGTACTCCTGTCTAATCCTTTGCATTGTGGTCACTCCCAGTGAAAATCTTAACATCTGCATCTCGGCTTCCTCTGGCTCCACTTTGTGACTTTTTGTCAGTGTCACTGTCTCCGAATACATCATACCTACCGTGATTGTTTTAATTCTTGGTACTGTCCATCTGTCACAAATCAGGTCTGACATCCACCCACTCTACCTTGAAAATACTCTTCTTCACCTTCTCTTATGTTCGCATGCTCATTTTCTACATTTATCAGCTCTTCACGGGACTCT